ACCCTTTTCAAGATGCAGCAGCCAGGCGGCGCCGAGCTGGGCTAGGATGTGCCAAGCGTTTCTTATAAGGCAGCCTCGTTAGTGCCACCCCTCGTTGCGATACCGCCCCTCAATGCGACGCCGCCCATTCACCGTACAATGCCACCCCTCAATGCAAGTGCTGCTCCCCCCCGCGCATTGCCGCCCATTATTGTGATGTCGCCCCCGCCTAGCAGTGCGGTGCCGCCCCAGCGTACGCCACACCGACGGAACGATCACTTTTGAAACTTTCAGAGATTGATAAGACTAACAATATGTATAAAATGTTTATCTCGGACTTTTGATATCTATGACCTAAGGTCAGGTCAATTTTGCGACTTCTCCATTAGGTATAAGTCAATTGGAGAAAATTGAAATGAGCCTCTTTTGGACGAATGTGGTTCAAAACCCTCTCAAACATCGGTTCATAGGTAAACATAACACACTGAATCGATAAAATGCACCTGTGACCCTTCTGTGTGCCCCTGAGGTCATCTCAGGTCATGAACGGTCACCAGCATTTTTTTGGCTATACCTTTTGATAGAGACGTGCTAAAGCGGTGAAAACACGTCAGATGTGTTCAGCTCGACGATACGGATCGGGTGATATGCAGCATGACCCTGTCCGTCAAGGTCATGACCTTGACCTGAGGTCAAATTTTCAAAATGACCTTTCAAGGTCAACGTATAGTTCATTCGACGCGTTTTGAACTTTTGACGAGAGGAATACGATGCTGGCAAAATAAATGTCATCACTGTCTTGAGTCAAAAGTTATTGCAGAAAACGATTTTAATAAAAACTGTTATTTTTGGAGCTGTTTCCCTCTGGAGGCTAGTGGCAGTCAGTTATTGGAGGCAGTCATGCATGTCCACAAGTAGGGGCTGCACGCACTAGACATCGAATTGTTAAGGTGATGTGTGGAGAAAAAATCCAGAACGTATGTCAGCGTTCGGTCGCCTCTGACTGCAGTCACTGCTGGTATGACAATGAGTTGGGATCTCATGGTGGATCTCATGGTCTTAAATGTTCAAGTATTTCCTTGATTCCAATTTAGGCAATAAGTCGCAGCGTGTATCCTACATACGTGCGCTCTGAGATTCTAAACACGGCAACCCCGATCGACTACAGGCTGCAGCCCACAGGTCATTTCGGATCAGAGAGTGAGCCCGTATATTTTTCCTTTTTTTTGCAAAGAATAAAGATTTTGCCTATCGATCAACGTATAGTTATTTTACCGTTTCGAATTCGCATGGATGCGTATTTTGAGAAAAAAAAAATGTCCGTAGCCTGAGCTCGTTTCCTATAGCATGCTAAAAATTCATCTAGATCAAGGCTTTTTGATAAAAAAACACTAGGCTGCAAATTGCATTAATTGGATTTTATGAAAATCAGCGAAAGCTGGTTCTTATGTACTTTGCAACACCTAGTAAATCATGCATGAACATGACGGTACATTTCAGACTGACTGTGACACCCCTGTCACTAGCTGACAATGGCGCCCCTCTCAAGGGAAAAAGTCGCCCCCTCGAGCACCATGGCCCCCCCTTTCGCTGATCTCTGGCTACGCCACTGTTTGAACCAAAAAATAGTATTACGTAACAGATTAACCATAGGATGTATGTTTCGCTACAAGGATAGACTGCCCAAGTCGAGCATCTCTGGTGTGGTTTACAAATATAGTTGCGCCTCATGCCAGGCGTCATACGTTGGCTCCACTTACCAACGCTTGTAGGTACACCAGAGTAGCTCAGCACTTAGGCAAGTCACATCGTACAGGTCAACTACTGTCATCTCCCTCAGCATCATCCATCAGAGACCATGCCTTGTCATGTCAATCATCACTAGGGATAGACGACTTTCAAATTTTGAGTAGAAGCAGTACCTACATTCCCTGATTTAAGAATTCTGGAATCGTTGTATATTCATCGTCTGAGGCCGCAAATCAACGACATGTCCTCGGCGTATCCACTACATATCACTGCTTAGCTGGGTACTTTTATGTAGCTGTTTCGTTGTGTACGTCATTGTACTTTTAATTGCATTAGGCAGTTTTCTAATGCGAAGCTGAACTCGAACTATTGCATGTGCGTGTGCGATATATTTTATGATCAAGGTGTGTTTGAATCATTGACCTATAATAAGTACCTACTTATTATAGGTCAATGGTTTGAATATGTATGTGTCCTGTATCAATTTGAAAAGAGTGTTGTCACTGAAGATGAATCTTGTCACTTGTGATTCGAAACCGGTCTGAATTTAATACATGAATGTCGTGTCATGCCTAACATAAAACTTTATATTACTTTTGATTCCATCAAAAGAAAGACTTTATGAACTCAAAACTAATGTTAGGGTGGGACGGTCACTTTAACGGAAATTTCTGGGTATGAGCGGCCGGCCAGCCATGCGGACGCTTTTGCGAGGCTTATATCTCAGCAACCACTCGACCGATTTCATTGCGGTAATTTTTATAGGGTAACTTCATTCCTTCTACCAAGTATTGGACTATTCTCGATGCATGTGGGTGACCCCTTATGCACGTGCCACGTGCAAAACGAAGAGGTGTCCGTTTTGTAACAATTGCAATATCTCCGTAACTACTGGGCCGATTGCGCTGAGAGTTGGCAGGTAGGTAGGCACCCACGAGGCAATGCATATCCATATGCCACAGTTGGGGTGCTGCTGCACGTGCGCACGTGCAGGGGTCGATTCCAGATCTCGAGAACGGCTGAACCGATTGCGCTGAAATTTGGTACATGGTTAGGGACCGGTTAGTAGGGTGCAGTGCAAAAGTCAGTTATGACTCATTTTGCACGTGCACACGTGCAGGGTGTCGCTTCCAGATCTCGAGAACGGCTGGGCCGATTGCGCTCAAAGTTGGCACATGACTAGGGACCGGTTAATAGGGTGCAGTGCACAAGCTAGTTGGAGGTACCCCTCGCAATTTCGCACGTGCAAGGCTCACCCTCTCGCTCGCTCCGTTGGTCGCCCTAAAAGGCGTTTTACTGGTGTTATATTAACTGTGAAAAGACTGTTGTAACGCTTTTGAGACGTGTCACTTCGTGGGATATTTGATTTGCACCCTTTTGTAATTGCTTGCTCCCAGGGCTATGCGAACCAGGTAGAACGTTCGCGACGTCCTTGCTCCCGACGAAAAAGTGGCGACAAAAATGAAATTATTAGCCGCGACTCTGGTGGCCAAACAACCTCAGGCTGCCTTGGTAACGGGGCAACATTGGTATGAGTATTGAGTACTCATCTAATAGTTCATTTTTTCAACGAATAACTTCAGGAAAAACAAAGAAATTCATTGGATTAGTAGAGGAATGAATGGCAGTTTTCATAAATGAGCCAATTTTTTATCAGACTAGCCTTAATAATAGGGGAGAGTGGGGAAAGATGCCCAGGGTTTGACTATGTCATATATTATTCGAAAATGACGATCGGATAGCCAAAACTTGGAGTTTCAACGGAAGCCGACATCATTTTTCTCCAAAAATATCACACTTTCGTGCCTGAAATATGATAACTTTTTTTGCTATCAAGCATTTTCCTGAAGAAGTGAAAGGGGGCATCTTACCCCACAGGGTGGAAAAGACGCCCCCTGGCGCTGGGTAAGATGCCCCCTGCACTAAAAGTGACATAAATAGGCACGTGAATCGCCTGAACGAATCAGTAGTCCCTTCGAGCCTGCAGTAGACACCAAACGTCATCGTAAGGGCCCTCAAAAGTAGTCGTAGGGGGCTTCAGAGGTCATCGTTAGGGCCATCATAGTCCAGCGTGGCCAAGCAAGCCTCCGTGGTGGCGTTCGGAGACCACTGTGGGGCCCTTATAGGTCTTCATGATGCTTGAGGGCCCTCGAGCCCATCGTGGGGACCTCAGATGCCAGCGCGGCCCGTGGAGCCAACGTGGGAGCCCTCAAAGGATGTCGTGAGGGGCCATAGAACCAATAATGGGGCCCACAGAGGCCGTCGTGAGGGCTCTCAGAGTCAGAAGCCGCCCAAAAAGTCGCTGTGTGGGCCGAGAGACCGGCATGGGGAGCACCCGACCGTACCGGACTCTCAATAGTCCCAGATCGGCTTTTGTCTCTCATCACAAGTATGTAATACATGATTTGACGGGCTGCTTGAAGGACAGCCTACGGATTTAGGGGGGCGTCTTTCCCCATCAGGACAGGGGGCATCTTACCCCAAGGTACCGAAGTAACATTAAATCAGCACAATTTGTTAGCCTTAAAACTTAACCCTGAAACAAACTGTTTGGGACACAGTACACGCATGTTAATGTATCACGACTATAGCAAGGGACGCAAAAATTATCTACCTTTTTTGATATTTACAATGTTTTGACGCCAAAATATTTTTTGAAAGCAGCAAATAAAAAACATGCAATCACCAGCCAGCCGTTGCCACACTGAGCTTCGCAAATTTTTGTGCAGTTAACAAGGCAGGCTTCTGCTTTACGCTAAGAACATTAATTTCCAGGTTCGATTCTTTGTTTCCCCGCTAGAGGGGGTGGGGCGTCTTTCCCACCCTGGGCATCTTACCCCACTCTCCCCTACCAAAATTAAGACCTAAACTTAACCACTCGTGCTTCTATAGGTTACCCCTAACGCTCTGGCCCCTCAAATCGTCACTTTCTTATCAGCCGATGAGCGTCGAGTATGGACTTACGCTGATTGGTCAGATTACTGCGTTTGTCGTTTATAATGCTCACGGTGCTGACAGTGCTGGCGCAAATGTCGCCAAATTTCGTAACGTTGAAAGGCCTGAGCGCACCCCTGCTTTCTCCTAACAGCACAGCTCGTTAGCCCATGCCGCTGTCAGCAGAGAGGGGATGCCATGTTGCATGTGCAACATGACAACATCAGTTTTTCATCCAATAGGGTAAACGAGTCTTTGCTGACAGCAGCACTGCAGCTGAATGTGTACAGGCATGCAGACTGTTGTCTAGCCTTAACATCACTTTCCGTACATTTCAGGGGTGAACAAGCATTTTCAGATGCTGATGATTCTGGAGCGGTTTTGTTCGCGGGTGCAGCAGGATGTACCAGCCGCGGCCATTTGGGAGCGTCTCAACCAGCTCTACGACATGTCGGCGCTGGTACGGCCACCAGGGCGCGGACGGAGTACGGACGGACGGGGCGCGGACGGAGTACGGACGGACGGGCGGACGGACAGACGGACGGGGCGCGGGCGGACGGACGGACAGACGGACGGGCGGACGGACGGACGGACGGGCGGACGGACAGACGGACGGGGCGCGGACGGACGGACGGGCGGACGGGGCGCGGACGGACGGACGGACGGACGGGGCGCGGACCGAGTACGGACGGACGGACGGACGGACGGACGGGCGGACGGACGGACAGACGGACGGGCGGACGGACGGGCGGACGGACAGACGGACGGACGGACGGGGCGCGGACGGAAGGACAGACAGACGGACGGACGGACGGACGGACGGATGAGGCACGAATGGACGGGCGGCCGCCGGGGCGCGTTCCTTCTACTGAAATCGCACTGCACTTCCATCGCTGACGGGTGATGTGATAAGGTTTGGTCTTGATCTGGGCGAAAAGGAAAGAAGTAAAACTCCCGGGCTGTAAAAAGATGTTTTTGCGTTGCTGTCGTAACTAACGGTCAGTGAAAGGTCGCCGTTCATTGGTTGGAGTTGCAGAGTTTGTCTGGAATGTTTGTACTTTGGAACTGGTGTAGCGCCGGCCGCTGCGGTGGTGAATGCGTTGTGGTGGTGGCTGGCTGCTGTGTGTCGGCGCCGGCAGCTGACCGGGGTGTCGGTGGGCGCGCAGGACGACCTGGAGGCGCTGCCGTTCCCCAACAGCCAGACCGAGTTCGACCTGCCCGCCGACGAGTTCGAGACGCTCATGGCGGCGCGACTGAGGCGCGCTGACCAGACGGCCGAGCAGCACCGCGACGAGCCGCGCCGCCGCCGCGCGCGCGACGACACGGGTGAGTGGCGGCCGCCCAGCCCGGGCTGACCGCGGTACTACCCAGCTCGGGCTGACCGCGGTACTACCCAGCTCGGGCTGACAGCGATACTACCCAGCCCGGGCTGACAGCGATACTACCCAGCCCGGGCTGACAGCGAAACTACCCAGCTCGGGCTGACCGCGATACCACTCACTCAGAGTTGAACGTCCAAACGACAGAGCCCGGACCGGGCCCAGGGAGCACAGCACCAGTCACCCGACTTAGCACTCCACCTCGCCCCCCCCCCCCCCAAACGCCCGCAGGTAGCAGCTCCACGCGCGAGAAGCGGAGAAGTGACGCCGGCGACTCTGTGCGGAGAGCGCCCAAGAGGGCAGCGCGCGACAGCGCTGGAAAGGCCGCCAGCCCAGCCAGCACTCCGACCGCAAAACGAACGAGGCGCATTTGAGGCGGACGCGGCGCGGCGGCGCCCTGATCGAGGACGCCTCTCCATCTGTGTGTGTATGTGTGTGTGCGGTGCCGGCTGTGTCCGCCCGTCGGAGACCGTCTGCTCGGTGTGCTGTCGGACAGTGTGTGCTGCCGGACAGTGTGTGCTGTCGGACAGTGTGTGCTGTCGGACAGTGTGCTGCCGGTCAGTGTGTGCTGTCGGACAGTGTGTGCTGTCGGTCAGTGTGTGCTGTCGGACAGTGTGCTGCCGGTCAGTGTGTGCTGTCGGACAGTGTGTGCTGTCGGTCAGTGTGCTGTCGGTCAGTGTGTGCTGCCGGTCAGTGTGTGCTGGCGGTCAGTGTGTGCTGCCGGTCAGTGTGCTGTTGGTCAGTGTGTGCTGCCGGTCAGTGCTGCCGGTCAGTGTGCTGTTGGTCAGTGTGTGCTGCCGGACAGTGCTGCCGGACAGTGTGTGCTGTCGGACAGTGTGTGCTGCCGGACAGTGCTGTCGGACAGTGTCTGCTGTCGGTAAGTGTGTGCTGCCGGACAGTGCTGTCGGACAGTGTGTGCTGCCGGATAGTGTGTGCTGCCGGACAGTGTGTGCTGCCGGACAGTGTGTGCTGTCGGACAGTGTCTGCTGTCGGTAAGTGTGTGCTGTCTGACAGTGTGTGCTGCCGGATAGTGTGTGCTGCCGGACAGTGTGTGCTGCCGGACAGTGTCTGCTGTCGGTCAGTGTGTGCTGCCGGTAAGTGTGCTGTTGGTCAGTGTGTGCTGCCGGACAGTGCTGCCGGACAGTGTGTGCTGTCGGACAGTGCTGTCAGGCAGTGTGTGCTGCCGGACAGTGCTGTCGGACAGTGTCTGCTGTCGGTAAGTGTGTGCTGCCGGACAGTGCTGTCGGACAGTGTGTGCTGCCGGATAGTGTGTGCTGCCGGACAGTGTGTGCTGCCGGACAGTGTGTGCTGTCGGACAGTGTCTGCTGTCGGTAAGTGTGTGCTGCCGGACAGTGCTGTCGGACAGTGTGTGCTGCCGGATAGTGTGTGCTGCCGGACAGTGTGTGCTGCCGGACAGTGTCTGCTGTCGGTCAGTGTGTGCTGTCGGTCAGTGTGTGTTGTGGGTCAGTGTGTGCTGCCGGACAGTGTGCTGTCGAACAGTGTGTGCTGTTGGTCAGTGTGTGCTGCCGGTCAGTGTGTGCTGGCGGTCAGTGTGTGCTGTCGGTCAGTGTGTGCTGCCGGACAGTGTGCTGCCGGACAGTGTGTGCTGTCGGACAGTGTGTGCTGTCGGACAGTGTGTGCTGTCGGACAGTGTCTGCTGTCGGTCAGTGTGTGCTGTGGGTCAGTGTGTGCTGCCGTACAGTGTGCTGTCGAACAGTGTGTGCTGTTGGTCAGTGTGTGCTGCCGGATAGTGTGTGCTGCCGGACAGTGTGTGCTGCCGGACAGTGTCTGCTGTCGGTCAGTGTCTGCTGTCGGTCAGTGTGTGCTGCCGGACAGTGTGCTGCCGGACAGTGTGTGCTGTCGGACAGTGTGCTGTCGAACAGTGTGTGCTGTTGGTCAGTGTGTGCTGCCGGTCAGTGTGTGCTGTCGGTCAGTGTGTGCTGTCGGTCAGTGTGTGCTGCCGGTCAGTGTGTGCTGTCGGACAGTGTGCTGCCGGTCAGTGTGCTGTTGGTCAGTGTGTGCTGCCGGTCAGTGCTGCCGGTCAGTGTGCTGTTGGTCAGTGTGTGCTGCCGGACAGTGCTGCCGAACAGTGTGTGCTGTCGGACAGTGTGTGCTGTCGGACAGTGTGTGCTGCCGGACAGTGCTGTCGGACAGTGTGTGCTACCGGATAGTGTGTGCTGCCGGACAGTGTGTGCTGCCGGACAGTGTGTGCTGCCGGACAGTGTGTGCTGCCGGACAGTGTGTGCTGCCGGACAGTGTGTGCTGCCGGACAGTGTGTGCTGTCGGACAGTGTCCGCTGTCGGTCAGTGTGTGCTGTGGGTCAGTGTGTGCTGCCGGACAGTGTGCTGCCGGACAGTGTGTGCTGTCGGTCAGTGCTGCTGTCGGTCAGTGTGTGCTGCCGGTCAGTGCTGCCGGTAATTGTGTGCTGCCGGTCAGTGTGTGCTGTCGGTCAGTGTGTGCTGCCGGACAGTGTGTGCTGTCGGACAGTGTGTGCTGCCGGACAGTGTGTGCTGCCGGACAGTGTGTGCTGTCGGACAGTGTGTGCTGCCGGTAAGTGTGTGCTGCCGGTAAGTGTGTGCTGCCGGTCAGTGTGTGCTGCCGGTCAGTGTGTGCTGCCGGTCAGTGTGTGCTGCCGGTCAGTATGTGCTGCCGGTAAGTGTGTGCTGTCGGACTCGGACAGTGTGTGCTGCCGGTCAGTGCTGCCGGTCAGTGTGTGCTGTCGGTCAGTGTGTGCTGTCGGTCAGTGTGCTACTGCTGGCGGTCAGTGTGCTGCCGGTCAGTGTGTGCTGCCGGACAGTGTGTGCTGCCGGACAGTGTACTGCCGGACAGTGTGTGCTGCCGGACAGTGTGCTGCCGGTCAGTGTGCTGTTGGTCAGTGTGTGCTGTCGGACAGTGTGTGCTGGTGGTCCGCCCGGTCCGGTGGTTGCCAGGTCCGGTGGTTGCCCGGTCCGTGGCCAATGTATTGTTTGCGCGGCTGGCTGCTACGCTCCCGCCGCGCTGGTCGGTGGACGCCACTGGAGCGGCCAACGGGTGTGCTGGCGGTGCGCGCACGCCGCGTGCCGCGTGCCGCATGCAGCAGCGGCTGCGGTCGGGGCGCGTGTGGCGCCTGCCCTGTTAGCGGCGGCCCGTGCGCCTCCGAACCGCTCTCCATTGGTGTCTGTATTAGAGGATAGAGCAGTGTCCTGAGAAATAACGAGGACGTGTCATCATGAACACAGTTGAATGGAAAATAGACGGGATCAATGTCAGTATTTCAGGAAATTATTCATTAAGTTATGTATCAGTATCAATGCAAGCTACAATGTCTATTATCGTAAAACCAGGCGATGATGAACAACTTTGGACGTCGACCGTCCCAAAAGCAGTGTTTCACACTAAAAAAAAAAAACTAGCATTGCTTCTTGAAACTTTATCAGCATTCGGCGACGACGTCATCTGCGGGGAATGCCGACATTGATGTTTTGCCATTTTATCTAAAACTTTATCCAGAATTCATCAAAGCTGACACGCGTTTTCAGAGCTTGAGGACGCTTGGTGCACACTGTAAGTTATAATTGTGTGTCTCAACACTGCCACTCCATACAAACGACGCTCACGGGGTGGTCCGGTCGACAAAGCACAGGACCGGTCCAGCCACGCCACTGAACTCTATACTGAGCCACGCACTCAGGCGACCGCGCACAGCAGGCCGACACGCGTCCGACCCCGGTCACTGCCGAGCGCCAACTCGAGGTGAAATTTGGTACAACTATTCTCTTATCAATTTTACACATGGTGTGCAAGTTTGAACCTCCTAACTTTTAGGGTCAGATCACCAGGTTACGTTGAATGACCCAACCTCAAGTCACTTTTTTGCAACTTTGTCACCGTGCCAGAGCTACAGTAGATTTCGGAGGCCTTTGAAAGTCGCAGGATGTTATAAGGTCATTAATAGCTACAATTTGTATCTCTCGGAATTTTGGTATCGATGACCTAAGGTCAGGTCAATTTCTCGACCTCCCCATTATAAGTCAATGGGGGAAAAATCAACTCCCTGTTTTTACCACTAAAACGGGTCGGAATGGCCCCATAAACCATACATGACATCATATACGATCAACCTTCACTACCTTGAGGTCTGTTTTTCTGTTGGGCAGCTGTAGGGTCATGTGACGTCATCAAAGGTCATCAAAGGTTTTTTTGCCAATAACTCCGTACAGGAACAAGATACAGCCGCGCGAATGGTCTCATTGTGTTCAGCTCGTCAAGGCGCATCGAATGATATACATGATGACCTCGAGGTCACGTGATCTGAGGTCAACTTTGACCTTGACCTTTCGAGGTCAATATATATATATATATATATATATATATATATATATATATATATATATATATATATATATATTATAGACATCTTGATGATGTCGAGTACAGGCGGTCAAGAGAGAAGCGGTGGATGAATCTGCTGGGAACGCAAGGCGGAAAGGAGGGAATGAACAAGCGCTACGGATGAACGGGTGTCGGCTGGCGACGAGTTAGACTGACCCGCAGGGCACAGCCGTCAGGCGGCACAGCCTACCACAAAATCTTAAATTAAAATGTCTTCACAGAATTTGGAACAGCAACGCGGCCGGAGGGATCTGGTGATTATGGAATAGGCGTGTATGTCATCGTGTGTAAATTTGAGTCGTTTTCGTTTGGTAGGAGACCGCGTAGTACGTATATTGTCTGAATTTCCTGTTATGTTTTAATGCGTACATTTTATTGGACGTGCACGAATATGTTTATCACGCTCATGTTGATATGTGCGCCACGTATGTGTTGTGTTGTGCGGCGAAACGATGAGGCCATTTATTCTGACGAAGATAATAATACTTATCGAAACGTCTGAAGCTTTTTCTTTTATAATTTTAATGGCCACCTGCTGATTCTCATATATATATATATATATATATATATATATATATATATATATATATATATATATATATATATATATATATATATATATATATATATATACATATATTCGTATAATTAGGCAAAATATCTTCAATTCAAACAATGACCATTAAAAATCACGGCATGTTGTGCTTTACATCTTCGTTTTCGACAGTTTTGCGGTAGGGTACTAAAAATTAACCATACCTATAGCGATAACCAGGCACTTGGTCAGACCTAAATAATACATATGAAACACACACGCACGCATACAACACGAACATACACTATACCTTCAGCCCACTCCTCTTTGAGTGCGCTGACTCCATGTAGTGACAAGTTGCATGTTTGTTGTACTTGTTTGTTGAGTATGGGTGCTTGTTCATGTATGAGTATGGCTTCCAGCACGCCCAGTTTCCTGGTGTCATGTGTCGAGGCGATGATTGTGGTGTTCTGTGTGAGTGTTCTTCGGGTGATCTGTGTGTTGTGTTCCCGCTGCATGTGGTCCTTTGGAGCCCCCTCAGACAGATGCATTGTGAGACGGCGAGATAGAGATGTTGTAGTAACACCAATGTAGTCTACCGAACGAAGCCTGCAATCTTCGTCAGGACAAGAGAATTTGTAAACTACATTGGTACGTTTCAACATTTCTGTCTTCGCCAGGTTGTTTTTCATGAACCGATTCTTCGTTTTTTTGACTTATGTAATAAATCTGTAACACCACTTTGTTATCCCCAGTGCCCTTCACATGTTTCGAAATGATTTTTTTTAGAACCTTTTCATCCGTTTTTTAAGCCGTGTTCATGAAATTGCGGTAGTATAAAGTGCAAACAGAATGGGTTTTGGATCTGTTATCGGCTTGGAGGTGTTTTTTCAAGTAAGTGATTGATTTCAACATCAATTTCACTGTTCGTGTACCCATCGTTCACGAGGAGCTGTTTTACACGGGTGAGTTCTACATGGAGCAGCTCATAACTGGAACAAATGCGTAATGCTCTGCGTACAAAAGCCCTGACGACGCTCCTTTTGTATCTTTGCGGGCACTCACTCCTAGCGTTCATAGTCACCCCAGCATTTGTCGGTTTTCTGTACACACTTGTAACAAATGCACCGTTGCGAGCCTCAACCAGGACATCAAGGAAAGGAAGCACACCATGATTGTTTAGCTCGTACGTGTAACGAAGAACCGAGTTTTTCTCCAGTTCAGCGATGATTTCGAGCAAATCATCGCATACTGTTTTTCTGAGGTGTTTTTCACTGAGGTGTTTTTCACTTACTTGAAAAACACCTCCAAGCCGATAACAGATCCAAAACCCATTCTGTTTGCACTTTATACTACCGCAATTTCATGAACACGGCTTACAAAACGGATGAAAAGGTTCTCAAAAAAATTATTTCGAAACATGTGAAGGGCACTGGGGATAACAAAGTGGTGTTACAGATTTATTACAAAAGTCAAAAAACGAAGAATCGGTTCATGAAAAACAACCTGGCGAAGACAGAAATGTTGAAACGTACCAATGTAGTTTACAAATTCTCTTGTCCTGACGAAGATTGCAGGCTTCGTTCGGTAGACTACATTGGTGTTACTACAACATCTCTATCTCGCCGTCTCACAATGCATCTGTCTGAGGGGGCTCCAAAGGACCACATGCAGCGGGAACACAACACACAGATCACCCGAAGAACACTCGCACAGAACACCACAATCATCGCCTCGACACATGACACCAGGAAACTGGGCGTGCTGGAAGCCATCCTCATACATGAACAAGCACCCATACTCAACAAACAAGTACAACAAACATGCAACTTGTCACTGTGGAGTCAGCGCACTCAAAGAGGAGTGGGCTGAAGGTATAGTGTATGTTCGTGCTGTATGCGTGCGTGTGTGTTTCATATGTACCTATTATTTAGGTCTGACCAAGTGCCTGGTTATCGCTATAGGTATGGTTAATTTTTAGTACCCTACCGCAAAACTGTCGCAAACGAAGATGTCAATTTATGTATGCTCGTGTTTACTCTTTTAAATTTCGAAACATGTTTAAAAACTGATAGCATGTGAATGAGCTTGTGCAGCGTTCTGGTTCTTCAGCGTGTCTGTTAAGTGTTTAGTATAAACAAAATGGATTATGGTTAGTTAGAACTAGCGTTGTATCATTTTGAAAATGGATATAGTCGATTATCCGAAACGTCAATGACTTGTCAATATAAACGATGACACATGCCTCTCGGTGAACTATTGTTCAACTTGAATTCAGACTTAAAAACATTGGTAAGAAGAATCGAAAAACCCAACAGAAAGCTTTCCAAAGCACAACATGCCGTGATTTTTAATGGTCATTGTTTGATTGAATATATATATATATATATATATATATATATATATATATATATATATATATATATATATATATATATATATATATATATATATATATATATATATATATAATCATTCAATGCGGATTGACGAGAGGATCACGATGCTGCCCTTAGTTTGTTCCTATCTTGACTAGTTCGAAAGTTATTCGAGAAAAACTCCATATCTAGCGCCGCCATTTTGACTTTTTTGACCCCTGTGACGTCATCTTTGACCTGACCTGAAAATGACCTTAGTAAAAATTGTAGACCTTGTCCGTGCGTATCCCATGCCGTTTACCGTTTGTCGCTACCTTGCTTCGTTCTCGAGATCTAAGGGGGGCGGTCATTCGCCCCCCCCCCCCCCCCGTCGGTTCTAAGTTGGCGCAGACCCCCGTCGGTGCGCGGGATATCAAAATGGGCCTAGTGTCTGCCGGACCTTTAGTTACTTTCCCTTTACGGATGGGTGTGACATAGGTATGCATGTTTCCAGGATGCCGGTACGGTAGCAGTGATCATACTAGAGTTGACTACATCAAGTAAAGGCAGGCCAATGCCAAAAAGTACCTTTGCATATGGTCTATACGGGATCAGCCCGGGTGACCTACGCCCGAATCGCCTATTCCATCGAATGTCTACGCCCGGGTGACCTACGCCCGGCTGACCTACGCCCGAATCGCCTACTCCATCGAATGTCTACGCCCGGCTGACCTACGCCCGGCTGACCTACGCCCGAATAGCCTACTCCATCGAATGTCTACGCCCGGCTGACCTACGCCCGGCTAACCTACGCCCGAATCGCCTACTCCATCCAATGTCTACGCCCGGCTGACCTACGCCCGAATCGCCTACTCCATCGAATGTCTACGCCCGGGTGACCTACGCCCGGCTGACCTACGCCCGAATCGCCTACTCCATCGAATGTCTACGCCCGGCTGACCTACGCCCGGCTGACCTACGCTCGAAT